TCTCTTCTCTTCTCTTCTCTTCTCTTCTCTTCTCTTCTCTTCTCTTCTCTTCTCTTCTCTTCTCTTCTCTTCTCTTCTCTTCTCTTCTCTTCTCTTCTCTTCTCTTCTCTTCTCTTCTCTTCTCTTCTCTTCTCTTCTCTTCTCTTCTCTTCTCTTCATTCTACTCATGTTTTTAAATGCAGTATCTCTAGATGAATGGGACTAGGTTTTTGACGTCCCAGCAAATGGACCGTTGGGTGCTTCAGGTACACCTACACTTTATTTTCCTGATTTCTTTATTCTCAAATGGAATGTTTGGAAGAGTTATTCCTCTCCTCTTTTGGGACAAATGTCATTGTAGCCATCATTTGAATTTTGATGTAGTTATTCAATTAATTGCATACCCATATGTAACAATTGAATGAGTATAGGTTGAGCATACAGCACACTTCAAGAAAGTATTGGATTCAACGATTAGCTTTTCTTGTGCAAAAGGTACCTTCCAGGTTATGTCTTCTATAATGAGGTTGTACAACTCTACATGATCTCAAGGTCAGCTGTTCCTGTGGCTTTTTCATAAAGCAGGACTTGCAAGGTTATGATTCCAGAGCTGAGAAGTAGGTAGATGCCATATGACAGACCCACACATCTAGCTTAACAACTGCACTAATGAAGTTTTAAATTTCCATCTGCCTTGATGTTAATCATTTAAAGTTTGCAGGTGTGAGGGCAGCACCCTGAAAGGTGGAAACTCACAATCACGACAGTGTGGATGCACATTTAGAAAACCTATTCGAAGCTCTAACTTAGAGTCTGATCAGCAACTGTATTCCTTCAGCATAACTAAACTCTCATCTATGGAAGAGAGAGTGTTTTACTCAGACTGAGGAGTATGCTTTTCTAGGAGGTAACAATTTCTAGAACCTTTTTACTTTCTGTGCCACAGGAAGGTAAGTTACTGTCACCTTGCTTTAACATAAACGCGTAGTTACAGCCCAGAAGGAAAGGAAACAGGTAATAAAATCCTTTCTCCTTGGAAATACTTTCCTAAAATAAAAAAATACACTCCAAATCCCAGCAAACAAATCTGAGTCTCTTTTCATAACAGCGTTTCAGCAAACATACACCTTCCCTCGGGGAGGGAGTGTAAGAGAACAAACCACAAGAGAAAATCTTGCCTGTTTAAATTTCAAGGGGCAAGGTGTGTTGCCATTATGCTTGTGAGTGTGTTATAAGGACCTATGTAGAACACACTGCTGCGTATTTTCTGCATTGTATAAGAGCTGCACACCAAGAATCTCACAAACATTTCTAGTGGCATGCGCTGGTCACAGTCCTTACATATTGTGTTTGGAAAATGATTGGCAGACCCTCAGGTCACACGTATCCAAAGTAAACTGTGTCCTGCTCATTTTCTGAGTGGTCTGTGGATGCTTAAAAATGTTGTTTGTAACCTTTGAAACTGCTGTCTGGTGGCTGGTCTTTATAGTATTACCAACAACAGATGGCAAATGGCTCTGTTGATGTAGTTCTTGCTAGTGTTTCATTCCTGTGAAGTTCCACAGTCTCAAAGTCTCAGAAAATGCCTCCATATTTTTTCTGCGTAATGATTTCAAGCCAAACTAAATAAAAACATCTTATCAAATTCAAATTCCCATGGTGTCATGTGACATTTTTGTAATGATTGCCTTGCAGCAGTTTCAGATAAGTGCACGTTTGGTAGCAATTTAAGGCCTGTGTCCTTTAAGTAATGCTTATTAGTACGCAACAGATGCCATTTAGAAACATTATGCCTTTTAATAGGCTCTGCTTTTAGACTACATTTTCTCATTCCAGGCAGGCTGTGGATCAGGCAAGCTTGGAGGTATGCTGCTGCTTATGCAAAGCCTAAGTCAATTTTCTGCTCTGAAGTCAAGCCATGTGTTTTTCCTTGTTTCTTCCATTCTGGCCAATGCTGTCTGGTGTTTTTCCCCCCCAGTCATATCTTTGGCTGATTGTCAAGGCATTACAATCAGAACCTTTTGCATTTTTAACCACCATCATCGGTTTCTTTTGTTCTTACGGAAGGGTCTGTGTAAACTGAATTGAAACAATCTCAGCTTTACTATCATGAGCACAGCAAGCGTGGAGTTAGCTCTCTATTGCCAGCCTGTCCTTCCTTCTCTGCTTCTGTCTTCTCCCAAAATGAAATAAAGGAAAAAGCAGAACCATGCTGATTTTGGAGCACTTTCAAAGACATGTAAAACAGCTGACACAATGGCACAGAGAAACAAGAAAGATGTTTGCATATTTTCTCCACTACATGCAGCTGTTTATTAAAGCAAGAGGTTCCAAGACAGACTGAGAGGCTTGTGATAGCTAGTGTAGGTGACATATTAATTTGCAGCTGCATAATAAATTTACTAATGTGTAAATTACTATGGTAGAGAAGGTGTTTTTTTTGTTTCCTTTTTATTTTGCTTAAATTAATTGCTTTATTTTGAGATTAATCTGGCAGTACAAATTAGTCCTTGTAAGTAATTTGGGGGAAGGCTGCTGAGCTGTCTTAGGTAGACTTATGTGCTCTACTGATTTCTCAGATGTACAGCATTTGCAACTCAATCTATGGGGGGATCTGAAACAGGAAATCTGTCTGGTTGTCTCATATTTTCATTACTGCATTATTTGTATGGGGAACACTGTGCTTCCTGATGGCAGACCGTGGCTTTCAGGTATCCTACGTATACCACCCGTACTGGCAGTTTGTATGCAGTGAAGGTAAAGGCTGCGTGTAGGCCCTGTGGTGTTATGTTCCCCACATGTGCTTTGAGTGATGGTAGTAACAGGCAAATGTCATTAACATGTCACTTAAACTTTAGTCCTGGTGCCAATTTGTGAGGGTGGCTGTTTCAGTAGTAATTTTAAAGGCTCTCTGGTCCTAAATTGCAGATATTTTCTGAAGCTGTTGTAGCTGGCAATCTGTCTGGCATCTTCCCATGGGATGAAATCATCTTTATGCTAGTTCGTTTTCCAAACTGACTTGTCATTTCTTACCATTTCACTATTCCTTGTTTATCACTACATGAGGTGTTATCTTCCTCTCTTCCCTTATATTACGGGTTGACTTCTAGGCGTTTTGTGTTCTCCTCTCTGCCTTCCATCTTTGTAAGGAATTATTGCTATCACACTTGAACTGGTAATTCCTGAAAGCTCTTCTGTTGTTCACTGCAACTTTGCTGTCATTTTTCTTCAATTCAGCCTCTTTGAATAATGAATGTACTTCAGAGATACATTCCAGTGTCATCTGGGGCCTCCCATTCTTTGACAGTCAAACTCTAATTTGAGGTCAGGCTTAGAAATATGAATTTCTGCTGGCACAGCTATTTTGGCTATGGGTATGATGAAGTGAGATGTATCAGGCAGAGCTATACAAGAAAAAGCCCCTGGGGTGGACACAGTTGATGAGAACAACTTCATTATTTGTTTGCATATTTTGTTTAGTGGTGGACAAATAAGTTGCCAAACGCAGAGGTTTTTTTAGATATCCAAGAAAATCCTTACCACTGTTATCTCCACAGCCTTCAGTAGTTGCAGTTAGACTTGTGCAGGAGCATATCTGCCCATTTCTTGGTTGTATGGAAAACAGTACCTATTAAGAACCTAATTCTGATGTCCAGAGATTCAGAGGTTTTAGCATCAACCTCACCTATTTAATGAAATGTCCCTGACAAAATCCCTGTGTGAACTGCAACCCTAAGGGTTTTATTCGTTACAGTCCTGAATGTCACTTCATGG